AGAGGGAAATGAAAATGTGGAAGAGAAGTATAATTGGATTAGATTTAGTAAGAAGAGGGGGTGAAGCATAATCAAAGAGATCAAGATAGAAAATTTGAAAAGAAAATTGAAAAATTGAGAAAATTGAGAAACTCTGACAATTCATATTTCATATGAGATAAAGGTGAACATCATATTGATTAACGAGTGAATGAGTAATTGTCCATGGAACTTTCACACTGGATTATACTAGGTGATGTTCATGTATTTTTTATTGTTGTTGTGGTCATTTTCATAGTGTCATTATTAATCGCTATCATTGCTGCTTTCATTTGTATTATTGTCAAACGGGTACTTAAAATCACACCTCATGTAATTTAGAATGTCCCTATTGTAGGCTAAAGTTCTATGAACCAAAAGAAGGGGAAGAGGGGAAGTTGCCCAATTTTGAATGTGCTCCGCAAGGGGTTTGTGGCAGCAATATGCAGTTGTATGTACCGTCAGGTTCCTCATATCCCGCACTAGATTATTGATACCCTGTTAGTTTTCCCATTGGTCACTTGCTAATGAGGTTGATACTGGAAGCAGAAGCTAAGCTGAGTGTAGGCCTGGAAAAATAAGACTTAGGAAGAATAGCAATAACCGAAAATAAGGAAGAAAGTTTGTTTGCCCCTTTCACTGGGCATGTAGTTTAGGTCGGTCAGTACCAAAAGACTTAATGCAAAGTCAAGGTGGCATTGGAAGCAATATAGATGTATATGTATGTATCTATACCTGCTAGGGCGTGTATATTATAAGAAATTTCTTGTGGCTTTTTTATATATTTATTTTCGTTTTACATTTGTTGTCAACTATTAATGTTACAAAGGAAAATATTATCTGCCCGAAGGAAGATGTTTACCGTTGGTGATTTTACAGGGATCATGTTCTCTATTTTAGATTCCTTCGTCCAGGTCATATGTAATAGATTGCATGTTGATTTGCTGCTGCTGTTGTGATAGCAGGTTGCGTCAAGAGTAAAGTTGTTGCATCCTATCTTTCAAACGTAAACTCCTAGGCTACCATTTATGTGAGTTAGTGTGTGGATTATACTGCCATTCTGTTGATGTCTATATTATTCGTCCTCCATTGTGTCAAGTTTACCCCATGTTTTATTTAATAGTTCTTGAAAATGTTTAGAGGCTTGATTATAGGTAGTCGTATAATTCTTCTGCCGGGGAATATATGCAGGGGCGTCACTTCATGTTATGAGTTGGGGGGGGGGGGGGGTGACGGGTAAATGTGCCCTGAAAAAAGAAATTTTTGCCCTGCAAATCACGAAAAAGAAAATGCTCACTAGCCCTTTGAATACTTATCGGCTATTGAGGCAGATTCCGTAAGAGGAAATTTGCCCTGCAGAACTAGATTTTGCCCTGCAAAAAGAGGCTTTTTTAAGAGATGGGTGGGGGTGAACCACCCCCCATACCCCCACTTAAGTGACGCCCCTGAATATATGGATATCTCATGTTTGCTGTGCCAGATGAGTTCTTGATTTTGGACTGCTTGAAGAGGCAGGAGTCTGTTTTTCGATAATGCTTTGAGAGGAATTGTTGGATACTTTAGGATGGGTCTGATGGGTTTTTATACAGTTGGAATATCACTTGGCACCGTCTTTTTTATCCCCTGAGTTCGTTGGAACTAATCCCTCAGTTTTCCCCCGGCTATGACCTAGGACAAAGAGCTGCCTCACTGGTCTTGTGTGCTCGTGCCCCAAGCCTACCTTCTGGACTCTGCCTAGACCACGTTACCCTCCTCAGTAAACCTACGTGGATTTCCAAAAGCTTTGACTTGAGGTTTCCATATTCATGCATCAGAGGTCATCAGGGGGCGAGAAATGCAGATTTTCCGACAAAAAATGAATAAGCATTTTCGTTTCTTCATGATTATTTTCCGACAAAATGGCAGTTTAGCTCTAGAAGGGGATTCTCCGCCCCCGACCCCCCTCTATCTACGCCAGTGCGTGCAGTCATTCGGCTCCTGCAGAGCTGGAAAGGGACTTTCCCAAGACCTGCCAGCTGTTCCATCTAATCTTTCATGTTATATTTGACGTTTCTTGCTCAGGTGTATCTGGTCTGGGCCATGGTTGTTAACTTCTATCTGTTGTCCTGAAGGACGCCAATTAGCACGTCTGATCTGATCCATTAAAGGCTTCACCTCATCCTCACATTCGCTGGCGGCAAATCCAATTAGTTCTAGGTTCTTTTGAGAATTATCATGTTATTATCATGGTCTTGTCTGGTATATCAGGACGTTTAGGTATTAAATTGCGTGAATGATGGTCATCGAGTACTCCCTCGAAGATGCATCGAGGCAAAAGGCTTGCGATTCAATCTTTGCAAATTCCCTTGGATCGCCTTGATATACTTCTCATGGTTGGGCCTCAGGTAGGATACTGCCGTGGGGACAGTGGCCTTGCCAAATGCCCACGTGAACTGGTGTTGAAAAATCTTATTGGATCTCTCCGTGTCATGTCAGTAGATCGGAAGCCTGTTTTGTTCCCTCATCCACATAATGGAACTAGTCCCGTTCAATAATATCTGAATCCATTGCCTCTTTCTTGAGAGGCATGCAGTATTCGAGTCCTCTGACCTTGATCTTCAGGAGGGGTCTCCATTGGTGGTTGAGAGAGGAGTCTTTGCGTTCTTCACCCCAGGGTGGTGAGCTCTAGAACTATTCAGGACTTCCGATACCATGTTTTAGCAAATGAGGACACGGAGGCTTTACGTGACAGCGACTCATGTGGCGGGGGAGAATACCCTATCCGTTTGTCATCAGATTATAGGGCTGTAACCTGGCCTTGTTCTTGGACCTTTCATCAAGTTTCGGTAGATCTCTTTACTTCCTCTCACAGTCGCATTCAGAGGTGACTTACAATGGTCGGGAGTTACAATTTTGAGGTCAAGCTTCAACTTCGCAATATGGAATAACTTACTTAAAGGTGAGATGTCAGTAGCATATAACATCCATTCGCCACAAGATTTTACGTAAAATTAATTTGCATACCCAATTGATTCAGTATCGAAATAGAATATCAAATTCTATATTGTCCATTCTTTTATTTTCCTTGTAACATCTTCAGTTTTACAAGTTGCCGCACATGATATGTACAAACGTTATGTGAGCAAAAAATTACTCGTATATTTTTAAGTAGTTGTAACATGATCAGATCAGATTTCACCAGTGTTCTTGGTCATATAACAGTATTCACTCAGAGGATCAGAATAATAAAAGTGACCATACACAAGGCATAACATAAAGTAAAGTATAAAATTTAATTTAAAACAAATGACAAATAACATGGAATGACTAAGGTGTAAAGGATGTAACTACTGCAGTAGTTTATAGTCCTCTAGATCAGGGCTCTTCAAAGTACAGGTTGCGACCCTGCCTCGTGGCATCTATGAGTTAAAAAACTCCGGGAGTCAATTCTGAGGAAAACTCCGGAGCCGGAGTCCTTAAGGCAGTTGTCGCTTGCGTTCAGGCAGCTCCTCCGACGGCATTGGCGCCAAACTGCATAGGTCTTTGCCGTTCCTTTGGATCCATCAACTACATGGAGAGAGGGAGCCTGCTGCATGGGCAGCAGCTTGCTCCTCACATTCGTAAGCCCAGGTATTGATTCTATCTTCTTTCTGTGGTGGTGAGCTGTCTCACACTACTGGAGAGGACACTCCAGAGACACTGCACAGCGTCGACACAACACTGAGAGTGGCAGTAACCAGGTATAAACTACAATGCTCAATTGGCATAAAAGCGTAGTGCGAGAGGCCATCCCCACATACTTTCGTTAATAATGCCAAAGTCAACATCGACTGGTGGTGGCCGTCTGTGTGTGTGTTATATATATATATATATATATATATATATATATATATATATATATATATATATATATATATATATGTATATATGTATCTATATATACACACATATATGTATATACATATATATATATATATATATATATATATATATATATATATATATATATATATATATATACATATATATATATATATATATATATATATATATATATATATATATATACATATATATATATATATATATATATATATATATATATATATATATATATATATATATATATGTATGTATATATATATATATATATATATATATATATATATATATATATATATATATATATATATATATATATATATATGAGAGAAAGGTTGCGTCTGCCATTAGGTGTTGAAGTACTGAAGTACGACCGCATCTTAGCAGAGGGAGCCTCCTGGACCGGTTATCCCCAGGATTCTTTTGGCTGATTTAACTACGGCCTCGACTCGGTCATTCGATTTCGGAAAAATACGCCGGGAAATTCCTATATGCTCTCGTCACGTTAAAAAGAATACCTTGGCTTTGTTGATGCAGGACTAGCTGGGGACGTGCTCCACCAGCTAGTCTGTCAGCTTGTTCGGGTGGCGGTGTGAGCCAGAGGGACTGCGGGTTGCGACGAGGTAGTAACTTGGTATAACAGACACTACCTCACCGTCAGTGCCTGGTCAGTATACAGCTTGCAGTACCTCCTGGCATAGGACGTACAGGATGCCCAGTTACCTACAGTAATGACAATAACAATAATAAAGAAGATAATATCATTAATAATAATATCAATAATTTAGAGTGGTTTTCTTATAGCTTCGTATGGTGTGCGTGCATGTATGTGCAATGCCGGCTTTAGGTACAAGCTAACCATCTGCAGAGGCCCTCACATTATGCATGGGGCCTTATGATGATTCCAGATTGGGTCTGTTGCTCATTTTTACGTCAGGTAATCCTACCAGATCACCTGAGGTTAACGTAAAATCTAGCGCGTTGTCCGTCCGCCCGGCGTGTCACGTATATATTTGATCCCCAGCGGTTGAATTTGAGTTTTGCGAAGTCTAGCTTCGCCCGGGCCTTCGGCTATGGCCCGGCCTATCCCCAGCGGTGTTTGGGGATTGAATTATATACGTGACCTAATTCGAATTGCCGCGGTCAATTCTCCCCTTGCGAGGACGTCAAAGACTGGGAGGGGTTTTGTTGGGTCGTCGACCAGGTCTCCTCTCGGAGGGTTCTCTTCCTAGTCAGCCCTCTATGAAAAAGTCTAAAGGAGTATATAGCCCTTGCTCCACGATGCCTCGGTGTTAAAGTCTTCACCTGCAGTTGTAGAAGGGATTTCCGAAATTTCAGTCAGTTGGTGGGAGGCCCTTGTTGTAGGAGGCACTTGTATACGCTGTAATTGTGTTGCGGCTTCTTTTCTGATGTGAGGAGAGCAATAGCATTCATTGCCGAGGCTAGATAGAGCTAGGGCTTGTTCTATCGTGTCTCTTTTTATTCTAAAGCCTGCCTGTCCGAGCGGAATTCGTGGTTCCAGTATGGGTGTAGGTCTTGCGATCAGAAGTCTTTCAGGAAGTTTGAAGGGGCAGCAAGGATGAGATGCACACATACACGCACGCACGCACGCACACGCACACACATACACACACACACACACACACACACACACACACACACACACACACACACACACACACACACACACACACACACACACACACACACACACACACAATTATATATATATATATATATATATATATATATATATATATATATATGTATGTATATGTATGTATATGTATGTGTATATGTATGTGTATATATGTATATATACGTGCGTGTGTGTAGGTGTATACACACACATATATATATATATATATATATATATATATATATATATATATATATATATATATATATGCATGTATTATATATATGTGTTTATGTGTATGTCTATACCCTATGACAACAACGAGCAAGGGATTGGGGGAGACAACATTAATAGCCAAAGTCCCTATTCCAAAAGCAATCCAGTAGTACATTGTTCCTTTTCTTTTCCATAGCATAAGAAATATGATTATGTTTCAGGATAAAGTGGACACTGCATGTTGCATGTTTTACATATATATCAAAATTAAAGTATTGATAAATTTATCAGTTGTTGTGATTTTGCCTCTTTAGATATGTATTGTAATTCCTTCAGGCATTCCTAGATTATGCTTGAGGGAGAGCCACTGCCATTCTGCAATGACCCTGTGATTTTCTACTAAGTTACCAGAGAAAAGTTTCTGTGGACCACTTTTCTTCATAATGTAAGGTGTTAGAATAATATCATTCAGCAAGTTCTTGATCTTTTATTAAACTGAAAATTTTACAGTAAAACACCTATTTAACTCAAAGTAAGATAAATGTAAGGTTTACAAAAAACACCACTACTTAAAGATTGCCCACCCATGCTCTCTTGTAAGCACGTCACCCAGCCAGAAATCACTTTTCTTCAAACTGAAGCTGGTATTTCAGTAATATTACCAAGATAATGCCTACGTCAGTAAGCTGCAGGCACTTCGTTCTTTCATGTAAACACTTTACTTATTTCTTAAAGTAAAAAGACCTCCTTTTCCAGAAAACATCTTACTTCTTAAAATTAAATCCAAATACAGACAAATATAATTAAACATCCTTATCTATAGACCTTTTACACAAATTACGAAGTTTAACAACTAAAAAGATTATATGAATGAAATTACAGGTCCACAGTTTTTCATAACCTAATGCTGAACTTTGTAGCCACAATTACAATACCATCATACTGTAATTGCACACACACACAAACTGCAGGGTGTGTTTATAAAGAATAAAAATTTTCATCAATATATAGAAATGAAAGTCATAATCAAAGAATACTTTACATGTAAACTGTATTTATTTCTGAATATTTATTTATATATATATATTTAGTACCTAATAACATGGCCAAGAAATATGTTTGCTGGGATTAAATTTTTTTTTGGTCTTGATGAACATATAAATAAAAATTAACCGGCAAATGACATATCCCTTCTACAAAGAACTTTTTACTTCACAAAGAAATAAAGAAAAAGAAAGCCAAAATTATATAAATAAAAACTCTCATAATGACTACACTGTCCTATTATTTGGGGGATGGTCTCCACAGAGTGACGTTTTATGAAGGTGGCAATATCATCATGACAAATCTATGATATCCAAAGATAATGAGTTATCCAGGAAATCTATCAGTATGTAATCAAAACAAATTGGGTCAAATCTCTTCTTGTAAAATAACAGTATTCCAAATAGCATTCACTTGACATACAATATATTAATGTACATAAAGAATAGATCAGCCTTTCTCATGCTTCAATGATTTAGCCATGTGTTAAAAGTTAAGTGTTTCTGAGTAACATTCATCAGCCATTTTATGTCTTCAATTTTACTTACAAGTACTGCACATGTAGCTAACAATTAACTTAGTGATCTTACCAATAACAAGAGATATCTGTACAATACATTATGGACTTAAAAGATCCTGTCATCTCTTGTACTACAAAAGAGGTAAGGCCAATGTACAAAGTTATGACCTTTAGAATGGCTGCAACACAGCAAAGATGCACTCTTCAGGAGGCTATGTTACTTAACCCACTGTTGTCAGGATAGCAAGAATACATTCCAGACCCACTGTCTTTTTGTTTATTGATTGTCTTTGCACATAGGTGGCTCCACAAGTGCTTAGTCACCAATGAGTCAAATACTACTCCTACCTGGCTCACCTGTTGACCCTTTTCCTTGAATTTTGGAAAAAAAAAAATCTTATTTCTATTATTATTGTTAATACTATTATAACAATCAATATCAACAATAATAATATCACTATTGATAGCATTAGAAAAAAAAACACACAAGGAAAGGATATATCAACTGTGGACACTTAGGCTTACTAAGTGGCCCCTTGGCAGCTGAGCATTTGTGGAGCCATTAATGTGAAATAAAATTCACAAAAGAAAACGACACTAGAAAGTCTTGGGTTAACATCTAATTATTCCTGAATATATGCTGTTCTCTTACATAAACATAGCCAATACTTCCTTAACCCTTAGCCCTCGGGTGGCATTTACATACATGCCATGGTATGCCTGGACATGGTGCGCCAATTGACATGGTGCGCCAATCCCATTGTCTGGGGCATGTAGGGTGACGACATGAGCCCCCGGGAGCAGGGCCTGGGCTACAACCAGGGAGAGAGGGCTTGTGTATTGGGAAATCACCTGTCAGCATTGGCATTGTCAAACAGTTGACTTGCTAACTGTTTGAGCTTAGAGGTAACCATTTCTTAAAATTATTATTGTTTCTGGATATCAAACCTGCGACATTCATTACATCATATTCAATTGGCACCACCATTTATCTCTTTAAAGAAACTTTAAAATATGGATGCATTCAAAAGACCATTAACCCAATGCTGCCAGGAAAATGTGATGTTTACTGTAATATTGTTTTGTGAAATATATCTACACCTCAATAGCTCCACAAGTGTTCTGCCACCAAGGGGTCAATTATTTACGTTATAATTATTACAGTGTTATTAACAATACTAATAGCAATAGAAAATAAAGTCAAATATTTCCAAAAATCAAGGAAAATGATTAACAGACAAGATAGGTCAGACTCATTGGTGACTAACCACTTGTTGGAGCCATCTATGTGTAAATACAATTAATATATTAAGCTCATTGTGGGTATGGAATATGAGTACATGCTATCCCCCGCAGAACAGGGTTAACACTGGGACTAATACAGTACTGCATAAGTACTGACATTGTATGATAGTCAGTTTTACCCTTTTATTGTTGTCATTATAAAGGAAAGATTTTTATAAAAAAAATGAAGACCTGTATTTATGTTATATGAACCAATCAGATGCTTTTACAAAACAAATGTGAAGTCAAGTAGTACAGCCTTTGACTAGTATCAAATTATCCTGTCTGTCCTTATGATACAAATTTATGATTTATGCGGCAATTATTTGAGTTGATGTAAAAATAATGCTCAAGGTTGGTATCAAAAACCACCAAAAAATTCATTTGATTTTATAAACCTAATTATGCTACATTTTAAATTTTAAAATGTGCAGTAGCAATAATGAAAGTAAGAAAAAAGGAAAAATATGAAAAAACAAGGAACTATACTAAGGAACTATAACCTAACCGCTAACATACCAATACTTTAGATAAAAGAAAATTATTACCATTATGACAAAACTGATGATAACAAAAATAGCTTTTGACTCTATTAAAAGAATGGATGAGGGAGCCTTGAAGAGAGAGGGAAAGAAATAATGTATAAAAAATAAAAAGATTATAAACAAAAGCAATTTGCACACAAGAATTCCATAAGGACATGAGTTTCATCACTGAAGCAGTGTCATTCATTGCTGGTACAAGACCTTTAACTAAAGGTCCCCTCATGATGGAAGTCACTGTTAAGGTTTCTTGGGGGTGGTGCTTCTTTGTTTCTTTAAAAGTCATACGATCTGTAAAATGAATCATATTCTTTAGAAATTATTAAATAAAGAGAGAGAGAGAGAGAGAGAGAGAGCGCTGGCTGCACAAATACTTGTTTGATAAGGAGTCAATTAAAAATAATATATATATTACTGTTATTATTCTTTTACTATCATGATCATTATCATCATTATAATAATGTTAATAAAAAGAGCAATAAAAACTTTTTTTTTTTTTTTAATTAAGGAGTTATATGGCCTAGAAATTGATTCCTTGGTGACTGTGCAAGGAAAGAAAAGAAAAACAAATAGTGGGCAGTTCATGCTTCCTCCTGGTGTCAATAGTTTTATTATAGCTAAGGACTGGAGAGGAAGGGTTGTAGAAGTGCAGTCTTTTGAGGTTAATAAGGAAAATAATCATCAAATTCTTGTGTTGTATAAAATGAACGTTCCATGTCCTTACCACCTGTTGCCATGAATAAGTGGCAAGTATATTAAAGGTATCTACTGTAAATGCACATCTACACATACAAGCTCAATTTCTGAAAATGATAAAGCTTTCACAGATCAATTTTTTTTTCTCAGCTTACCTTTTCATTCCAAGTCCTGAGGGCATACGATCCAGTATCCTTTCCACGCTGCTATCTCTGTGCATGGGATAACTGAAATTGTGTGACCCTCCACCAAAACCTCTGCCACTTGGCCTGGGACTCCTGTCTCTGCTACTGTAACTGCTAATTTGATCCTGATCCCTGCTTCTGTCACTGTTATATGGTCTGTTTCTTTCACTATTGTACAGCCTATCTCTGTCATTGTTGTAGGGCCTATCTCTGTCATTGCTGTAGGGCCTGTCTCTGTCACTGTTGTAGGGTTTGTCTCTGTCATTGCTGTAGGGTCTGTCTCTGTCACTTCCATAAGACCTATCCCTGTCGCTGCTGTAAGGCCTCTCTCTGTCACTACTGTAATGCCTGCTTCTGTCACTGTCACGGCCCCTATATCTGTCCAGGGGGTCATAGTCTCTATCGTGACCTCTTGAGGGCGACCTGTGCCTTCTGTGAATAAACAAGAAAAATTTGTATAAGAAACATATAAACTGATGCACCCATTAAATATGTATAATACTGTATATCCTCAACATTTTTAATATTAAAATTTTTTTTCTTCAATTTATAACAATAATTCATTTTTTATGTATATGAAAAGGAATATATTATGGGCAGTACATGTGGAAGAGAAAAAACAAGGACAAGAGGAGAAGATAACAACAAAAAGCTTGAATCTATATGTCTGTATTACACTAACTACTTCACATCTAGTGTTTGTGAAAGATATAATCAATCTTTCTGCTATTTCTCAATCTATCAACCTCTATGAGAACCTTTCACTCTTTTCCTTTTTCTTGGGAAGTACCAATTTCAACGTTTTTTTTTTTATCCATTAGTTTCTGAGTTATAATAAAGAGAACACAGTGGAAAAGAAAAAAATATATATATTTCTGAGACTCAGGTTGTGTGGTACCCTCTTCCTTTAAATACCATCTTGTGTTCATACACCCTTTGTTGAGATAATATGCAAAAACAGTGAAAAGTATCTACTACATGATCCAGTCACTGTCTCTCTCAACAGAATAAGAACCCAGAAAAGAAAGGGAAGGGAGAAGGGGAGGGGGAGGGAAGGGGATGGGAAAGGGAAAAGGAGGGAGAGGGGAGAAGGGAAAGGGAAGGGAAGGGGAGAAAGGAAAGAAGGGAGGGATGGGGAGAGGGGAAACAAAGGGAGGGTGGGAGGGTGGAGGAGAGGGTAAAGGGACGGGGGGAGGAGGAAGAAGGGAGGAAGAGGGAGAGGAAGAGGAAGGAAGAGAGGAAGAGGAAGGAAGAGAGGAAGGAAGGGAGGGGGAGGGGGAGGGGGAGGGAGAGGGAGAGAGTGAGTGAGGGAGGGAGAGAGAGAGAGGGAGAGAGGGAGGGAGGGAGAGAGGGAGGGAGGGAGAGGGACAGGGAGGGAGAGAGAGAGGGAGAGGGAGGGAGGGAGAGAAAGAGAAAGAGAGAGAGAGAGAGAGAGAGAGAGAGAGAGAGAGAGAGAGAGAGAGAGAGAGAGAGAGAGAGAGAGGCAGGGAGAGAGAGATCAAAAGATAGAGGCAGACCTAAAAAGAGGGAAAGAGAGAGAGAGAGAGAGAGAGAGAGAGAGAGAGAGAGAGAGAGAGAGAGAGAGAGAGAGAATGGGGGAGAGAGAGAGAGAGAGAGAATGGGGGAGAAAGAGAGAGAAAGGGAGGATGAGGGAGGGAGGGAGGGAGAGAGGGGGAGAGAGAGAGAAAGGAGAAAGGGAGAGGAAGAGGGAGAGAGGGAGAGGGACAGGAAGAGGAAGAGGGAGAGAGAGAGGGACAGGAAGAGGGAGAGGGAGAGGGAGAGAGAGACCAAAACATACACTGATAAGATTCTATAGTATGGAACAAAATTACACACCATACCTTTTATTTTACTTACTGCTTTAGTAAAGCCATAACCCCTCTGTGGTTGTCTTCTAGTTGATGTTCAGATCATATTGGTATGATGGGATAAGTCTCCTTTTATTCAGATTATGAAATGTGTTGGGAAGAGTGAAATTACAGAAAAAGGGACATGAGGCAAGAGAGGTATAAGGAGAAAAAAGGAAGAACACGAAAATACCTCCTTGGAGACCGGCTTGACCTCTCATCTCTGTATCCACTTTCCCGACTTCTTCTTTCAAAATCTGCCCGTCTTCTTTCATCAAGCCTTCTTTGACGCTCTTCTCGCTCCTTTATATATTGCTGAAAAAAGTTTTCATTGGGTAACACTCTGGGACTTTAATCCAAATGCATGTGGTTGAGAACATGAACAATAAAGAAGGGTACTGCAAGAGTATATCAGCCTTGCACACGCACACACACGCACGCACGCACACACACACAGAAGGAGATGTAGAGATCAAAAGGTCACACAAATACTTACTGCTTTCATTTCTGCAAATTCCTTTTCCTTCTCAGCATATCTAATTTCCATTTTTTTGTTCAACCACTCTTTGTACTCTTCATAATCAGCAAGTTCTTCGTGCTTCTTACCATCACTACAAGTTGCTCCCCATACACTAAAAAACAACCTTCCTGAGAATAAAACAAGAATGAAACAAGTAGTGCCTTAAGTTCTTTCCATCTTGGGAATAAAACTTACAATCTTGTCCTTCACAAGAATAATAAAATGAGAGAAATAAAAGAGAGACAGAAAGTGGGGAGGAAGAGGAGAGACAGAGAGCATGAGAGAGAATGGAATAGGGAGAGAGAGAGGGATAGAGAACAAGAAAGAAAGAGAAAATATAAACACACACAGGATACTATTCTACCTGTTAATAAAATTCTTATCTCATATTCTATTTTTCTTCATGTACTATTAATGAGGAAGGCAGATATTTTGTGACTGATAATAACCCCCTTTTAAACTATCACATACATTACATGGAGTCCAGATGTACAACAAACTCTCTTCAACTGTTAGGTTAATAGTCTATAGAAATGGTTCCCAACCTTTTTGTCAAACCTCTGCCCCATCCATGACCCCAAAATAATTTCTAGGCTTAGAAAGAAAGAAAGAGAGAGAGAGTGATAAAAAGAGAGAAAGGGAGAAAGAAAGAAAGAGAGAAAGAGAGAAAGAGACAGAGAAAGAAAGAAAGAAAGAAAATAGAAAATGAAAAAAAAAAAAATCAGAAATCTGTAAACTTTATTATCCAACTGTAATACATTGATGGTATGTTTTCCCTGCAAAATCTTAATATGAGTACTGATGAACACCAGGCATATTGGCTGACTATTTTTTCACCCTGCTCACAGGTTGGGAAGCATTATCTATGGCTTTGACTATCCATGAAAATATCTTGCATTTGTAACGGGTCTTCAATATATAATGAAATCTGGTGATTGGTGAGGGAGGCAATGCTATATGTAATTTTTTTTTTTTTTTTCCATGGCCAAGATTTACACCATTCTTACACAAAAATTCTAGTCATGAAAACTATTCTGATTATCCATTCTTCCAAAAGAAATAAAGTTTCTACTTAAAGGCATGGTAATATTTGTGAAACTTGTGACCAATAGCAAATATTATATGTCTTTTATTATATTAACAATCATGAAAACCATAAGGCAGGAATTTTTATGTGGCTTTAGAGAAAGACAAATTGTGCCTTGATTTTTTAAATTTCTTCCATAATGTTCTGAGATGTTTAGCAATTGCTCTGAAAGGACATGCATGATGCCCAAGTCTTTAGACAGTACACCCTTATATTATGAGGATGTCTAATACCAATTATGTTTTTTAGCAGAAAAAAAAGTCCTGGTTAGTCTCTAATGGTGCACTGTAGTCAAGACTGTAATGCCCAAAGGATACAATTAATTTTCATGCCATGGATCACTACTAATTGAATCAGCATATCTAGTCACCAGCCACACAGGAAGGTGTAATGTGAACTGACATTATTCTAACAGCTGCATCAACATTCATGTCTGAAATGCTTTGCCTAGGAGAGTATCACACTAAATGCAGTTATCAATTCAGGTACATACCTATGTATGTAATACTCATTATCAACACACATACATACTTTACAATATCTACAAAGTACTTCATTTCCTGTAATTATAGGCTTTTGTGGGTTGACATTGCAACTTTATAATACATGTTTCAAAATGTATACTGTAGTAGATCAATTAAAATATGTGATGAATGTCTCCTCCAAAATAAAAATGTTTAATAACATATAAAAAAGAGCATTTTTCCACTGCTTGACAAGTGACTAAAGAGCCAAAACTAAGTCAAATTCAGTGTGCACTAAAGCAAATATTGTGAACATTGAAAAAAGTCTTCAAAGTGCAAGGGGGGGAAAACCATGATTTTTACATACAAGTCCTTGAAACCTGTAATAATTTTTGGCTTGAGTAATTATTTGTCTTAAAGAGAAGTTCACTTGCTAAATCTAAGCCTGCCTCCTGGTCCTGTGTATGTGTATGGGGAAAAGCACCAGTGAGCTGAAGGAGAGTAAAGAGAGGAAAACAGAAAAGAAAGAAAGAAAGAAAGAAAGAAAGAAAGGAAAGAAAGAAAAAGAAAAAAAAAAGAGAAAAAGTGAAAAGTAAGATTATTATATGAGAAGTGAATTCAATAGAAACATATTACTGAAGAGAGATGAGAAGCTATAACTTGGTACATAAAAAAAATAAAAAGTTTTGAGATTAACTATAGATGGATGGGTAATGAAAACCATTTACTAGAAATCTCTTTTATTGGTAAATGTTACAGATTATGGCTTCACAAGATGAAGATATATTTACATATAAATAAGCCACCAGAGTTTTGGCTACACTTTCTACTTCAAAAAAGTGTAATTCTTTATAACCTGTTTTCTCCAATAATAGGGGGGGGGGGGGGGGTGTCAGAGGTCAAAGATCATTACACTATCCATAGTGTCAAAAATCAAATAACACTATCATACATTATTATCCTTAACCTGTTGGCTACATGCTGATGTACGGTCCACTTATTTATTTATTCATATTTTTTTCTTCTGTGAATTTTGTTGTACATAGATGGCACTAAAAGTTTCAGCCATCAAAGTGT